TAATAAAATAGTAGACAGATGTGTCTTAAGAACATTACAAAGATGCAATTTGAGAGCTAAAGAAAGTAAACATGGAATAACCTTTCCTCTATAAAGCGTTGATCTTTTCTTTCTGATTGCTTCACAATTTTCATGCTGAGCAAATTATTCAAGAAGCTGGATTCTGTGGAGGAAATTAGCACAAGGATCAGAGAAAGCCTTATCAACAACCTGCGTTATGCAGCTGACACAATTTTGCCTACTGAAAGTGAGGAGGATTTGAAACACTTGCTGCAGAAGATCAAGGACTACAACCTCTAATATGGATTTTATCTCAACATCAAGACACAATTCCTCACCACTGGAGCAATAAGAAGCATCACTATATAGAGAGGAAAGACTGAAACTGCCAACTAGTTTATCTTATTAGGATCCATAATCAGCACCCTTGGTACCAGCAGTCAGGAGATCAAAGGGCTTGGTGCACTGGGAAAATGTGCTGTCAAGGTCCTCTTCAAAGTACTAAAGAGCAAGAATGTCAATTTTAAGGTTTAAGTTTATCTGATCCAAACCATGGTCTTTTCACTAAATTCCTAGTCGTCTGAAAGCTGACTTTCAGAGGAATAAGACTGGCAGAAGAAGAAGCAATCTGCGGTGTCTGAGAAGAGACTATCCCATGGTCAGCCGAAAGAATAAATGTGGCTGTGTTGGAGAAAGTACAGAGTGCTCCTTGGAGGTAAGGTGGTGAAGCATTATCTCAGATACTTTCGATATATTGTTAGGAGGGATTAGTCTTTGGGAAAGGACAACATGCTTGGACAGGTGAAGGGTCAGAGAAAGAAAGGAAGACCTAAACAAGAAGGATTGATCCGGTACCATAACAATGAACTTAAGTATGCCAGAGAGGATGAGGATGGCACAGCCTTGGGCAGGTTCACATTCATTGTTCATAGAGTCACTATGAGTCATATTTGCTTTGGCACATAACAACTGAAACAACATGTTGCTGTGTACCTTTGAGTTGGAATCAACCCATAGCTGACCCTCCAGTAGATTTTCAGAGGCAGATAATCTTATGAGAGGAGACTGTCCATCTTCCTCCAGTGGAGAACCTGGTGGATTCAAACAACGTTCCTTTGGAATTCTAGCACCGCTTCTTGTCACTAGGCCAGCAGAGCTCTCTAACAACATATTAGTGCTTTGTTAAATTTTACTGATAATTATTATGAATCTTTTGTTATTCATGGAACTCAGATGAACAGAATTAAGTTTATTCAATCAGTGTCACTCCACAGAGAGTGGTAAAATATTATCAGACCAGGTATTATGTGTGTTTGTGTCTCATCACTATTCCATATATTAAGTCTCAAAGTCTATAATATTCTATACCACAATGTTAAATCTGCTCATAAAACAAAATTTCAGTTGTTGCTGTTGTTGTTAAGTAATGTCAAGTTATAGGCCACTCATAGCAACCCTATGAATGAAAGACCTGGAAACAAAATTTCAATTAGGTCATTCAATTATTTATCACTATTCAGGGCTATGGGGCTCTAGGTCAGTGTCCCTGTCCTTTCCCTTCAGGGTATTACAATGGCTGCCACAGCCCAGAATTACCCCTCATTTGTGATGGCACCTAACACATTAAGAAAAGAGGAGAGAATATTCCTTCGTGTATCTAATTGTTGTAACTTTATTTAGCATTTAATCAGTTCCTGGAACTTTGCTTTTCTCCAATCTCTTCAATAGTTTGGACTTCTTTCAATATGACATTATTGATCATATGTTATCTCCCACCATGGGTGGATGTCAACAGATCACTTTTGGAGACAAAGACTCTTTGTTTTCCTTCCTTTTTCTTCTGGTGTTTCCTGATAATATTCAATACTATCCAGTGTTATTGTTGTTGTTAGATGTCAGTGAGTTATCTCTGATTGCACTAGAACATAATCTCATCCAATCCTGGGCCATCCACACCAGCTCTGCTCTGCTTAAGTCCATTGTCACAGCTTCTATGTCAACCCACCTCCTGGAATGTCTTCCCTTCTTTCAGATCTTATACTTTTACAAGAATTGAGTAGTTTTCTGGGAATTGCCCCTTCCTAATAACACCTGCAAAATGTATGAGAGGAAGATCCCACAGGTTCATTTAATCTTGAAACTTGAAATTTTAGTGTTTTTATCAGTTCGTTCTTTCCTTTTTAAAAAAAAAAATCCCAATTTCTGTCTGTAGTTACAATTCAATTATGGTAATAGGCAGTCCTATAATGTTAATATTACAGGATTAGTGTGGGTTGTAATTTGAGTCAAATGTTTTTTGGGGTTTTTTAATTTTATTTTATTAATTTTAATGAACATTTTCAGAGATTTTGGATTTCCATTCAGTCATTGTTGCACTTTTCTCCCTGCCCAGCCCTCTTCCCACCCAGTTCGCTCCTCTCTTTGAAAAGCAAAAGAAAAATTCCTTCTTTGGTATACAATTGTTTTTGATTTTTTAACTCTAGATCTCACTCTTTACATTGTACTTTGGGGCCCTTTGAAATCTTCTGTCCAATCACTTTAGTTTATCATTTCTTCTATTCTCTTAAGCTACTTTTTTGTTTAAGAGTAAATTTTAGAGATTTTTACATTCATTTTTGTCTTTTCTCACACTCCTGTCTTTTTAATGGCCTTTTACTGTCTCTTTTATGATGGCATCTCACTTGGCTTCTGTCATTTATGTACACTTCAAATCTGTTCTTAAGATGCAATCCAAATTCAGACAGTGCACGTCAAAGCTGTGCCTTCCCTTTAAGGGACTTGCTTTATTTATTTTTTTTTTTCAGTTCAACTTGAACTTATATATATATAATCAACAATCTGTTCTGAATTCAGTTCGTGACCGTGTTGTGATAATGTTGAACTACTCCATCCTCATTTAGCACAGATGTAACCTATCTGATTCCAGTGTATTCCATCTGGTAAGGTCCTTGTGTATTTGTATTGTGGGAAAAATACATTGTCAATGAATGCATCACTGATATCGCATAATTCTATCGTTTAATCTCTAACATCATTATCATCACCAAGGCCATACTTTTCGACAACCAGTCCTTCTGTTGCCAATTTTCCCGTTCTAGTTACCAGTAATTATAAGATCATTGATTGAATGTTCTATCACTGCAGAAGCTGCTAAGTAAAACTTTTCTGTTTTATCATTGGTGTCCAGGGTTAACACATAAACTTGAACTATAGCCAAGCTAATTGATTTTTGTGATAGGTAGATAGACATTATTCTGTCACCACAATCATTATTTCTCAAGATAATTCTTGAACCATTCTTTCTGACAATGAATGCGGCACCATTCTTCTTCAATTCATTATTCCTAACAAATTAGATCATATGTTTGTCTGATTCAACATAGAAAGTCTTTTCTTTTAGCTCATTAATGCCTAAGTTAACAATCTTTGTGCATTCATTTGTGTCATTTTTGACCACTTCCAACTTTCCTAGATCTACTATTAACACATTTTATGTTTCTATTTTTGATGCATGTTTTCACCTGTATTTTTCTAATAGTGATCATGACACCTCAGTAAATGAAGATCCTGCAGCTTCGCTCCATGCACACCACTAAAATGAATCCTACTCTGAGGAAGTAACGGGTCCCTAGTTTGACCTGGAGTACCTTCGAATCTCAGAGACTCATCTTCTGGCATTATTCAGACAATGCTCCATTTCTAGTCACACGATTTTTTTTACTGGACAATTTTTTTAGAGACAGATTATCAGATTCTTCTTCTTCTGTCTTAGCCTGTAAGCTGTGCTGAAACCTGTCCACCATGAGTGACCGTAATAGTATTTGAAAGACTGATGACATAGTCCCAGCAGCACACACAAACGTAAGCCTATGCAGTACTAGGAATCACAGACTAGTGGTAAATACGTGTGTGTGTGTGTGTGTGTGTGTGTGTGTGTGTGTGTGTGCGCGCGCGCGCGCGCACTTATGCGTGCTTTCAATGGAGAAGAGTTAGCCACTTATGTACAAAAGAGCATGGTTCATCTTCACCAATGTTAACACTGACAAAAAACCCTCACTGTGTTGTTAGAAAAAGCCAGTGATGTTAGTGCAGGAAGAGAAAATACAAGAAGTATGTAAAACTAACATTAGAAGTAATGGAATTTGCAGAATACTAGCACCTAAGAGCACCACACTTGTAATGAAAGAAACACATAGGAGAGTGTGTAATGATTTCTCAGAGCTGGAAAATGGAAAGGTCCATTAAGGATTTGAAGGAGACTGGTCTGCTTTGGCTACTGGTACGTGAAGGTCTTTTGTTTCCAGACTTTTATGAGTGGAGTCTCACTGCCCTGCCAAGACTTTGGATGATAATTTGCAATCAATTCTCACTTCTCAATTTGAAGCATTAACCACAAGTGTTTTAAAAGATGAGAAGGCAGAGTTTCCCAGGCTGGCATTGTTGTTGTTGTTGTTTATTGTCTTCAAGTCGAGCACGACTCATAGAGACCCTATGAACAAAAGGCTTGAAGCCCCTCAACAAGGAATAAAGACACAACTCTGGACATAACTAATCAGTCCATGAGTTCTCATTCTTGAGATTCAAACTTTAGATTAAAAGAATGAAAATCTTCAAAAACTGGAATAAAAATATCTTTTAAAGAAGATAGAGAGGAATGTTAATGGTAGATCACATACAAAAAATGAAAAGAAAAATTAAAAGAACCAGCATGGTTATGAAATATCTTTATGGGAATAAGCTAGTCATTGCAGGAGGGAGAATCAACATTCGAAAATTATATCCCTTCATCCAGGGCCAAAAATACACCAGCAAGCAAAGCATAATCAAATTACATAGGTTGGAAAAGAGCACAGTCAAAAGGGGCCTGGTAAAAATTTGCATCCAGAAGGAGATAGTGTCATGCAGCAGGAAATTCTGGGATCAGGGTCCTGTCCCCTTCCCTGAAATTGCTGCAGAGATTCCAAGTCTGGGGGTTCAAGCAGACAATCGAGGATAGCAGGATGTCTGCCATCCTGTTCACTGTCTCCTTCATGTTCCTCTATGTGCTCCTGTCTGCGACAATCATTGTGCAGAGCAGCTTGACTGTTGCAGTGCTGGTAAGAGAGTGGTTGCAGGTCCAAAAACTGTCACCCTTGGACATGATCCTCACCAGTCTGGGCGTCTCCCACTTCGTTCTACAGTGGGCATCAGTATTGCACAACTTTTGGTCCTATTTTCATCCTAATTGTACATTTTTCTTCTTTTCTATCATTTGGGATTTTACTAATATTTTCATATTTTGGAACACCACCTTGTTAGCTCTTTTCTACTGTGTCAAGATCTCTTCCTTCACTCATCCCCTCTTCCTCCGGCTGAAGTGGAGAATTTCAAGATTGATCCCTTGGATATTGTGGGGTTGTCTGTTGCTGTCTTGTGTGGAAATCATCATATCATCTATCAGGAATCATATCAAGACTCAGATCAAGCTGGGGAGCTCTCCCGAAAATAGCACGAAGAAGGACAGAATTAAGACATTCCTGTGGCACTTTATCCTCCCTCAGGAAATGACTATGATGGCTATTCCCTTTGTCTTATTATTAGTATTCACCATCCTGCTTATGGCCTCACTGTTGAGACACTTGAAGCAGATGCGTGACCACAGCACTGGCTATTGGCTCTCCAACAGGCGCGCTCATTCGATGGCCCTCAAGTCTCTTGCCCTGTTCCTTATCTTCTTCAGCTCTTATTTTATAGCTCTATTTGTTTCATTTTCGAACTTTGCAACTGAGAAGAAGCTCTCATTCTGGGCTTGGGAAGCTGTCATCTACTTTGTAACCCTGATTCGTTCCACTTTACTGATGTTTAGCAGTCCTACACTGAAAAAGTTTCTAAAGGGAGGGCGGTGAGGTTAGAGGCTGCCTGAGACTTGTTACACAGCAAACTCTGAGCAACAGGGAGTTTGTATTTTGTGTTATAAACAGGTATTATCAGTAAGAATTTTTCTATTTGATAGTGACGCCCACACCACATATAAAAGCCTTCTTCTCATCAATCTTTCTCTGCCTCATATTCCTACAAAAAGTTCCTCTCAGAACTTACAGTGACTTCTCACATTTATCTACACATTCTCCAGGAGAATTTCTTGGTCTTTTCCTAAATGTTCTTTCTAAACCCTCCATGCACTTTCCTAATTTCACTTGCGAAAAATATCTTGCCATCTTACTCTAGACTGCTGTTGAATTTTTATCCAATAATATAGAGATCTTTAGTTCATTTTCAAACTATCACCTTCATGCTTTTAAAATTCAGAGCAATATTAAACCCTAATTTCCATTTACCAAGAGATATACTCTCTCCAGAAGAGTATCCTACTTAGCAGAACGTGTGCTTATCTTTCCTATCTTTCTAATAATTGGCAATTGAATTCCATCCATTTCATGGGATTTCTACTGACTAGACCCTTATTTCCCTATTTTATTACAAGATGGAATGAACTTCCTGGCAAGATTTCTGGACTGACGTTTCAGTGGTTTCTGGCACATGTAATCTAGATGTCGTCTGGAAACCCCTCTTTTCTTATTGATTTCCATTCCATGATTCATATGCATTTTGTTTTATGACATCAATTACAATTGATCAATGCCTGTGTCTCATCAAATCCTCGCTGTACCACCTAACATCTGAGTGATACTCATTTATATCTTCTCATTTCCTCGGTGCTACATTCTGTCATAACTCAAAGCCCTTCCCCAATGGATCAGACTAAAGAAGCCGTATTAAAAGAACAAACAAAAAAAAACCACACTGATAAGACTTTCCTGTTCTTTAGAAGTGTCTCCTGACCCCGACCCCTTCAATCCTAAAACTAGATTCTTTTCTTCTCATAGAGTTTCATCTATCCTTCATTCTCCCCTTTTCTCACCTTTTCCTATTTTTCTTATCTCCACTCCCACCTATCAGTAATAAAGAACATTTTACAGATTCTTGAAAAGAATATCTTCATACCAGCCAACTTCCTGGCCTCTAGGATCTTTCTCAGCTTCCAGTCACTACAAATTTTGAAAAGGTAGTTTTTCCTTGAAACAGCTTCACATCTTTAGGAATATTCCTGTTAGAGCTACAAATACAATTTTCCCTTAACATTTTATACATATTGGGTTTTTCTGATAAACTATAGTTCTGCCTTTTTCCATTAGAAGATTGAGCAGACTCCAGAGAAAGAACATTCCCTGGGGGAAAGGGCATGCCGACATATCGAGCTTGACTGAGAAAAAGAGGTCTCTGGAGGCAAATGAAAACTCTGATCTTGTCTGTGTCTCTTCATCTGGACTGTCTCCCAGTACAGTCATCCCTTGAATTTATATTTGGAATTAAGGGGATCAAGGGAGTGAAGTATAAGTAAACATGGAAAGGCCATTTTCACCCAAGTCTCTGTGCCATATGCTGTATCTCAGCTGCATGCTTTGGATTAGCTACTTACACAGAAAAAGAAGTGAAAGTTCCCTTTCCTACTTCTCTGCAGTGATCTGTGAAGCCTTGACATCTCCAATTCCAATTTTAACTGCGGTCAAAGGTGAGATGGAATGTGGTGAATTTTCAGTAATGTCTGTAAAGTAGAGTCATAACCAGCAAAGCCAAAAGTGAGTGGCAAAAAGATGGAAGAGAGACAAGAAAGACCCCAATCTTGTGGTAGCTGAGACCAGGAACTCCTAAGAAGACTGGCAGAGAGGTGGGTTGGAATGGTGCTTGCTGTTGATATGACTTCCCTTGCACTTACTGCCAGTTGAGATCATGTGCATGCTAAAATCTCAGCTAGCCGGTAAAATAAAAACTGTTGTCCTCATAAGTGTTTTCTTGGATGGGAAATGCCCATTTCCACCTGTGTGCAGAAAACACCCTAGAAATTTGATATTATAAATAACGTCATTACAATGGTAAACTTATCCAGGATATGGATGTGGTAAGGGGACTAAAGCATCTGTTGTTATTGTTGTTGTGTGTCAAGTTGAGTACGACTCATAGTGAACCTATGAACAATAGACTTGAATCCTGCCTTGTCCTGTGCCATCTCTTCATCTCTGATGCACTTGAACCCATTGTTGGAGTAACTATATATATATCCTAGATCCACCTTATTAGGAATCTTCTGTCTTTCACTAAACCTGTCCTTTTCCAAACATGATATCCCTTTCCTAGCAACATGCCCAAAATATGTGAGATGAAGCTTCATGATCCTTGCCTCTAAAGAGCACTCTGTCTGCATTTTTTCCCAAGATATAGCTATTTGGGTTCTTGGGAGGTTTTTTTTTTTTTGGTGTGGCAATCCATGGGATAATCAGTGAGCTTCTCCAACACCACAATTCAAAGGCATCAATTCTCCTCTGTCATCCTTATTCTTTGTCCAGCTCTCAGATGCATTGCAAGTGATTGAAGAGTATATAGTCTGAATCAGACACACCCTACTCTTCAAATGAATCATTGCTTTTTAGTATTTTGGAAGAGTATTTGACAGTGGATTTGACCAAAGCAATGTATCCCCTAATTTTCTGATAGCTGGTACCAAGAATGCTGAGTGTGGATCCAAGCAAGGTGAAATCACTGATAGTTTCAATCCTTTCTCCAGACAATAATGTTGCCTAATAACCAGGTGGTAAGGATCTTCATTTTCTTGATGTTGAAATGTAACTCCATATTGAAGGCTGTATACTTTGATCTTCTGTGCAAGCAGTAAAGGTCTTGAGATCAGCTGAGATATCCAAATATCAAGGAAAATGTAGCACGTTTACATTTATAGAACTTTATAGTTCTCAGCAAGTTTTTATATGCATTTCCTTATTTTGGACTAAAAGGACAATTCAACACAGCTTGAAGTGCAGACCTAGAAGGTCAAGCAATTTATGTAAAATTCACACTGCTGATTAATGAAAAACTTAAAGCCCAAAGAAAATAGGAGAAAATCAAGAGATTAATGGGAAAGGAGCAAAGTTTTCATTTATAAATAATGGTAATGATTTTTTTAAAAGCATCTAGAAAAAAAATGAAAACTTTTGAGCAAAACCAAGGAGATATACGTTGTCATTGATAGTTGCTCCAATTCGTTATGGTCACTTATATATAATAAAGCAGAATTTTGCCTATTCCTGAGCCATCTGCATCGTCTAACATTATAGCAAACATTGCTTCTTTATGACCTACAGTATTTTTGTTGAGCAATTTTTAGAAGTAGATTCCCCCATCCTTCTCTCATGAAGTCAATGATGGATTCAAACCATACAAGGTGTTTAGCCATTGGATTAACAGCACAACTCAATGCAGACCACATCACCAAAGCTCCCTGGTGGGCACAGCTTTATGCAAATATCAGTCTTTCCTTATATTAATTTATCCTCCTAATCTATCAATTTGATGGTCTTATAAAAAACAAGAAGAAAAGGTGGAGTTGGAAGAAAAGAAAAAGAAAACTGCTTTATTTTCCTCCTTCTTGATCCCTAAACTCTAGATTAGGTCAAAAATAGGAAAAAGAAGTTTTTAATTGAATAAGCGGCTAATGTTTTCTTTAGACTCTTTGAAACTTGAAAATGAAACCATCTTAGAAAACTATGGAATTTATCATGGTCCCAAGAGTTGCAAAATGTAGTATTCAGAGTATGTTTGAAGTCTGAGGTTGAAGAACAACTAGTTCTTCTGGGTGTAGCCTATTCAATTAATTTGTCACATGATATTTAATACGAGTAACATTCACAAAGCTGAGAGATTTTTCTGTGAGACTATTTGTCAGACGTGGCACATCACATTCTTCTTATTCAATGGCCTGGAAACACATTTTCTTCACTTTCTGAAAAGGAGTGAAATGAAAAGTCAAGAGAAAGGTCTACTTGTGGTAAGCCTTGATTTGCCTACCACCACCATTGTCAGGACTCCTTGTCACACAAGGTGGAACAGCTTACATGTTAGATCCAAACAAGACACCGTTCCATCCTCAGGAACTCTGCACGCGTTTTCTCATTTTCTCATTCTGACTTCTGTCTTTCTAATTTGGGAATAGTGAATAATGTTTGGCCTTACCTTTTTTGGTATTTTTATAATATATTTTGGTCAGTTCTTTTCAAAATTAGTCCTATTGATTTTAAAAGAACATTTTTTTCCCAAAGGACAAGGAAGAGACTCAGTAATGTGTGAGCAATAGTAAAGTAATAAAACAGTTATTATATTATTCTAGAATGATTTGGCAGTTGTAAGATAACCAGAAAAAAAATATCCAGATATACTTTTATTCTAGAAATATGATTTTAAAAGATAATTTGGGGGACTTTTTGGTAACCAAAGGCCAGCAATTTAAATCCACTAGCTTTCCTATGGGAGAAAATTGGAAACTATCTTCCTGTAAAGAGATTTACTGCCTGGGAAGCTTAATGGAAGGTCACCATGGGCATTAATTTGACAACAGTGGATTTTGGGGTTTATTTCTGTGAAAAGAAACCTGAGTGATATAGTGACTGCTTGGCTGCTAACAGAAAGGTTAGCAGTTTGAAACCACCAGCTGCTTCAGGGAAGAAAGACGACGCAGTGTGTGTGCCTTCATAAAAACCGTGGCTATGGAAACTTTCTGCGGCCGTTGCATTCTGTGCTCTACAGTCTCGCGGAGTCAGAACCTACTTGTGACAATGGACCGTCCTCTAAAATTTGTCAGTCAGTCAGAGTGACTGTGGTAGAGACGGTACTCACTCATCATTGACCCTCCAGCATTTCCAAGGTTGTAAATCATACAGGAGCAGATTGTACACCTTTCTCCAGAGGAATCGTCAGTGGATTCAAAGGGCAAGCGAGGTCTAGCTTTTGGCTTAGCAACCCAACTCCCTACACCACGATAGCTCCCATTAAGCCTCAGGATTATGGAAGAACCATC